CCAAGCACAACTTCACTAACAGCGCGTACGCAGATGGCGTCACGATACCACTTAGTGATGCCCGATATTAAACCGCCTTCAATATCCGCAATTAAACGCAATATGCGGCGTCCCCCCACGCGCCACGAATCCGACAAACAAGATGGCCGGAATTTGACTTGGGCATAGAGCAGGTTAGAGCCCCACAATAGGAGCAAAAAATGTTCTAGCTTTAGAAAATGATAATTTCTTAACAGTGAAGTATTCTAAAGCTGAGCTCTAATAATTATTTTAATATTTTTCCACTTCTTAAATCCAGTTTTAACAAACTGTATCACTATGCAGGATGGATGTGTGGAGGCCCTTTGAGTACAACATTACGGGGCACAGTCAAGAGCTAAGGGGCCATTCTGTCCCACCGCGGTGTGCTTTCCGGTCGTCTTTCTAGCGACACGTGGGAGCATCCCCTGGCCGATTCGGAGGCCCTTAGAGGGATACATCATGTCGCATTGGTCCCTGACGCAGGAGGTCTTCTGACCCGCGCAGTTGACCCCGGATAGACGCATGACTGGCATTAACAACATCCCTGCTCACCGCAGGTGGTCAAATAATTGGCACATGGACTCAGGTTCGGCTTAACGGGCTCGTGCTGGTAAAGGGTTGGAGGGCCCGCCATTCAACACTGGGGGTCCTAACTGGCACAGGACTCTTCTATTACCTCAATGTGAACACTCATCATAAGCTCTTGTTTTCTTCAACTGTCAGAGGGCCCTGACCAACGCAAGAGTCCTCTGCCACTCGGACTCCCGTCCCCGCCCCTGTTGAACAAATCTGCCCCTGACCGATTCGAGGCCCCTTGTTAAGCAGAACGCCCCGTTAGGCACTGTGAGTCCCCTGAATGATACAGGAGTCCGACCGATGTAAATCGCGGGCCTGGCCTTGTCAATGTTTGGGAAATGGGTCCCCTAGAGCTCAGACTAACACGGAGCTGGCTGTTGGTTATTCGTGATCTCTGGCCGCTAACGAGGCAACGCTCTGCCTCAGGGGTCCCATCGTTGCAAGAGATCATCTTACTGACATCTGATTGTCACGGCCCTACGGGCACGAGTCCTTAATGTGACCTACAGCCAGCCCTTCGGACCCTTCAGCCGTCCCATCGGGCCTTTGATCTTTGGTCTCTAGAGGCCCTTCGGCCCTCTTCGGCCCACTAAAACATCGCTCCGACTCGGGCCAACTTGCCGCCGCAGGGCCTCCGTTCGGCACCGTGGCCCGTAGCCGACACAGGAGCCCCTCATTGTGTTAGGAACCCTGAACATTAAAAAGCGCGGACACCGGCCTCGTTCCTGGCTGGGG